TGCCTTTTTAAGTCCTTTTTGGCCACAGCCCGTTTCTCGAAGGTCCCGAAAAGTTTTCGCACCCGAAAAGCCGTAGCAAAATCTCAAACCTTATGACTACAGAGCTGTTTTTTCCACGTATTCTTACTACGAACAGAGTTCCCTTCGTACAATAAGTTTCAGGCGTCTACACCTCTATGTCTTTAAATGCTGATTAACTAAAAATGGCTTTTAGGGCCCGAAAAGTTTCCGGGGCTTTCGAGAAACGGACTCCTGGCCACAGCCAAGTGACAAAATCGTCAAAACCGTCAAATACGCCAAGCTGATTTGGCTTTGACAAATTTGACTAAAATTCGGCAAAATCGTCAAATCCATGAACATTCACTCAGTTTGACGAAATTTCCTCAAATCTGTCAATTTCGTGCATTTCTGGACATGATATTGCCGTGTGCTTTTGATGGCAAAAATTGGATGTTGCTTTTGTTGTTGGAGCGTATATTTATGCGGAATGTAAGAAAAGTTTCCATCTTAGTATCATGTGAATGTAAAAAGATGAGAATCCTTTTTCTCTTTTTTCTAATTCTTCAGATAATTATCAAAGTTTTGGACGCTAACGATAACACTCCAAAATTCGAGAACAAGGCGTCGGTAAGTGTAGGAGAAGACACATCACCAGCGACTGTTGTTTTCACAGTAGCGGCACGTGACCCAGATGCTGGTCAGAACGGTATAGTGATGTACGAGATTATAGCAGGCAATGAACAAGGTATGTGTGACTTTCAGAGGCTGTTTTAACAGCGACTAGCAGCTGTTTTTCCTATTCCTTATCAATAGATACACTTATTGAGAGTCGCGTTGACCAGTTATACTTTGCAGTTCTCAAACTGCTTTAACTAAAAATTGTTTTTTTCTGTGCATCCTTGTCTGTGTGTGTGTGTGTGTTTGTAGACATATCGACCATTGGACATACCAACCACTTATGATTAGGTTGCCCCTACACGGCCGAAAGACATTGCACCAAAAAAAGTAAGAAGGAATTGAAAAAAAAAAGCTGTTGCTGCTGTAAAGTGCGCTTTGGTCAGGAAGCCACTTTACGCGGAGCAATATTTTAAAATCATCTTTCCAATTAACTGCTTAATTATCGTAGGTCTTACTGCATACATTTTGCTGTCAAATGCATGATGCATCAGTTTTAGACGCAAGGACGCAACTCGAGCGTTGCCACAGCTTTCTTGTCATTTAGTATTGCCTCCATATAACTGCAGAATAAATAATGTAACGCTCTTCCCTTCTTACCAATATCTATTGGAGAAATACATGGCGTTTTTAGTGTCTGTTTATTTGTGTTCTTTATCAGGAATCTTTGCTTTGAATAACCAAACCGGAGCGTTATCTTTGGTGAAACCACTTGATTACGAGTCTGCAGTTCAGCATACACTCAACATATCAGCTTCTGATATGGGACAGCCTCCACGCAAAGCCTTTAGTAACGTCACGATTCACGTGATAGATGCTAACGATAACTCTCCAGCTCTTCAAGCGAGGATCATTCGAGCTTCTGTTTTATCAGTGGTAATGGAGCGGGACTGTTTCATGTCGAGCCATATACGGGTCACGTGAGAGTAGCAGCCTCGTTGGCTGATAAGGATGGGTCAAAGTTCACTTTGGAGGTCAGTGCTTCAGAGGGAGGGCAAGAACCAAGTACCTACGCTACTGTGGATGTAAGTGTCTTCTGTAAACATAGTACACGGCTTGTTAGGGCCTGTATTCAAGGAGAGAGGGTTACCCTAGCACTCACACATTTCCTGTTTTCTTCTTCGTCGTGTTTACAAGGCAGCTAGGGTTACCCGGGTAAGCGGGTTACCCTGGCAGAGGGGTTAACCTTTTCCCTTGCAAACACTCCAGGTAGGGTTAACCCGCCTACCCGGGTTAACTTTCTGATTGTTTTCACTCTCTTTGAGTGTAACCGTGCATTAAGTTGTCCCGGTTTGTAAGGCTACCCTGCCTGTGAAATTTTGCTTGTAAACCCGGGCTATCTTTTGCCCTCCAGCATACCGTGGACTGCATTTTGTAAGTAATCGTATTGTAAGCGATTTTACGGGCGAGAAGCGCGCGCTTGTCACGCGGCCATTTTTTTCCCGCGGTTTTCTTTCGCGTCACGCGCGACGGACTATGCGAAAGAGGGACTACTCGTAGTCTAGATTCATTTGCCTGAAAAGCTCCATTGGGGGAGTGGTCAATTAAGATATTTTGTTTTTTTGTAATAACTTTGGCGGTTGGCTTGAAGACTTGTTTGTTTTGTTTCCTCAGGTCTTCGTCCTGCGCGATAAAGATTCTATTCTCATAAAGGCAGGAGTGATACCAGAAGAGATAACAAAACACCGACAGCAGTTTCTTAGGTGTGAAATGAGGCGCAGTTTTAATAGAATTCTCTCGATTTAAGAAAACGGAAATTCTGAACATTGTTTTGAGTCGAGAACACNGGTAGAGTTAACCCGCCTACCCGGGTTAACTTTCTGATTGTTTTCACTCTCTTTGAGTGTAACCGTGCATCAAGTTGTCCCGGTTTGTAAGGTTACTCTGCTTGTGAAATTTTGCTTGTAAACCCGGGCTATCTTTTGCCCTCCAGCAAACAGACCCTTAGATACCGTGGACTGCATTTTGTAAGTAATCGTATTGTAAGCGATTTTACGGGCGAGAAGTGCGCGCCTGTGACGCGGCCATTTTTTTCCCGCGGTTTTCTTTCGCGTCACGCGCGACGGACTAAGCGAAAGAGGGACTACTCGTAGTCTAGATTCATTTGCCTGAAAAGCTCCATTGGGGGAGTGGTCAATTAAGATATTTTGTTTTTTTGTAATAACTTTGGCGGTTGGCTTGAAGACTTGTTTGTTTTGTTTCCTCAGGTCTTCGTCCTGCGCGATAAAGATTCTATTCTCATAAAGGCAGGAGTGATACCAGAAGAGATAACAAAACACCGACAGCAGTTTCTTAGGTGTGAAATGAGGCGCAGTTTTAATAGAATTCTCTCGATTTAAGAAAACGGAAATTCTGAACATTGTTTTGAGTCGAGAACACTTTGAAACCCATATCGCGTACTTATATCCTGAAGTATTCACCTATTTATTATTACCTCACCATGCAAATTATTATCATTATATGTTTTCAAATGCTTTTAAAATGTATACATTTTATTACATTTTAATTTATTGGTAGGATGCTCGAAACCGTATCTGGAGGAAAAGCGTTTATCAAATATCTACAGCAAGAAAATGGCGAAAACGCGTAAGTACTACCAAATCAGTATATTGGACAACACTGTAAATAGTGTACTGTAAATCGAGTATTGCAATGTGAGTGGTGAAAATAATTTAATTTTGTAAAGTAAGTATGTAAGTGTGTATTGAATGTATTTAAGTTATTAACCAAAAAAATAGAAGAGAGCAAAAACAAAATATATATGTATCGGACAACACTCGACACTTGATGATATATAAGTGTAAAGATTAGGAGACCGATCAATTTGTTGGTGTTGTTTATCTTGTTCCAACTTCAAAAGCAATGTGCTTTTAAACCTTCATTCTACGAAAGCTGCTCATAAAATGAACGAGGGAACCTGATCCTAGTGCCTCGTTGTGTTGCAGGACTGTGGTGACTTTTCACGTGGTGAAAGATAAGCAAGTGATGCCAGCCACTGAAGTTATAAGGTACAAAGTAACAAACGTTTTATAGTAAGACCTGTTGTTAAAAACAACAGAAGTGCTTGCTCATGATGTTTTTAGTTATCGGTGTCGTAGATAAAGTGCATCCTTACATGACATCATACGATGAAAAAAAATGTTCGGCCATGAGACCAAAGAAACCCCGTTGAAGAGAAATTTCTTGAAACTGGCGCCCAGAAATAAATCTTGTTGAAATCAATAACTGAATCAAAACCGAAGCCACGTCAACTATGGTTCCGATGACATTAAACTGAATCGCACCACTCCTGCAGCAATTGCAATAACGATTGTTACATTTGCAGATTTAAAATCATAACATCTTTGTTATTTTTAGTTCTTTGTCAGACAATAAGGAACTATTGGATAGTACTTACAAACAGTTTAATATCCAATGGTACCAGCTCCCCGACGGACCGTCATCTCCTGAGGCTCGAAAGGGGACTGAGAACGAGTTATCCGCTGTGGTTGGAGCAATGATTTGTCTTGGTGTAATTATTGGGGTTGGAGCAATAATTATGATAATTATATTGATCATGTGAGTGTTTTTCAATTATTAACCATGCATAACGTGATGAAAAATTATATCTTCCTGTTGCCCAGTGTTAATAACAAACATGAAAAACGAGCGTAACACAGAATATTTCTACTTGTTCTACGGCTCGGGTTTACCAACTTCCAAAACCATGCAGTCCCTTCTAAGTTGAAAATCCCCGTAAATTGGTCGGTGAAAGAGTGCTCATTCGGTTACTGATCCAAAATAGTCTAAAATGGTCCAAAATGGTACAGAAAACAGGCATTTCATGCAGTCTTATCTTCCCCCCTCGCAAAAATATAAAGGCATTTAAAAGGGTACAGGATCACTTAACCCACGCACTGAAATTACAATACAGCGTTAAGTGGAGCCGGTTGTAGCGTGAATTGAAACAACATAAAATGCAATGCTAGTTCTACGAGGTTTTAAAGTGGTGCAGATCAGGAGCTGTTGAAGTATTTTTCTCCTAATCGAAATGTTCGCCATTGTTTA